AGCACTTGACACGCATGTGCGGCGCGGAAAATCAGACACAGCTCAGTGGCATGGTCATAGGAGGCAAAACACAGGCAGGAGTGTAGCAGTGGCAAACGTGTAAGATCAGTGACGAGTCGTTTGCTGTGCTTGCTGGAATATCCGTCAGAGGTATTAACGGCATGGAAACAAGGCAACAGCATTTTCCTTGTAAGTGCTGATACCTAGAACTGAACAGAGTTGCGTAGCTCCGTCTGCAAATAGCTCACAAAATAACGCGGTTGCAGGAAGACGTTGTTGACAGACAGCACTGCGTTTCATTTCGAAGAGAATCAGCTCTTGCACCGCCATAAAATAGTCCGTGTGTCTGTTACAGCACCCTAGCACGTCGTCTCAAAGCACTTTGCAGGATTTTACTGTAAACTGTAGTGACTGTATTTGTAGGCAATAAGTTTACCACTCGCTCACTGAAGCAGTGCTTCCGCAGAATTTGTTCTGAATTTACCCCCCCCCCCCAACCCCCACTTCAATCGCAGGCCGTGTCTTCTGGTTCAACTGTTCAGTACAAGATAAAACAACTTATCGTGGTCTACGTTATCTAGTCCTTTTAGAATCTTAAACGCTGTAATCCTATCGGCCCCTCGACCTTCTCTTCTCCGGTGTGAGCATATCCGGTTTAGCTGATTGATTCTCGTGGTTCAGTCCCTCCCGCCCCCTCAATCAGTTTGGTTGCCCTCCTCTGTAGCCTCTCAATCGCTGCAATATCCTTTTCGGAGATTGGGGCGACCAGAACTGCACACAGTATTCCAAGTGCGGTCGCACCAATGATTCATAAAGTGGCAGGATTACCCCACCATTTCGGCTCAATATTGCTCTTTTAATACAGCCTCGCATCTGGTTTGCCTTAGTCTCTGCTACCGAGCCCTGTTGGGATAGCTTCAATCTACTGTCAATCAGGAACCCCCAGGTCCTTTCCGTTTTCCGTACGGATTATTTTCTTACCATTTAAATAATAGTCCCATCCTGGATTTTATGTGCTCACGTGAAGCACTTTGCATTTCTCTACATTGAATTTCATCTGCCATCGATCTGCCCAATTCCCCAAAATGTGCAAGTCCTCCTGGAGCCTATCTTGCTCATATTATTATAGAGGTGTCTCAAAATCTAACACAAAGCACTTTGAGCCTGTGCTGCATTGTTATATTAATCAAAACCCAAACCATAATACGAACCTGTTGTGTCCGGGTTGTGTGTGTTGAGGTGAAACTGCTGGGATTAGTGTCTGATGGGTTGCTTTACCCAGAGGGCATATTAAGATATAGCTAAATGGAAAAAAAAATTAAACAGAAAATTACAAATTAAATGCTAACATAAAAATAGCGGCTAGTCAGAGCTGTAGTCATTTGATAATAGCACATTTGTAAATGTTTCATTGCTAAGGTTTATTACAAATTAATAATGCATGTTACTTAATGTTACAACGCTTATGATTGCTTGTGCTGTAAGGAAAGCTTTAAGGAAATATGTCTATTACTTCAGTGGTGCAACAATGTTTTTATTGCACTTCGTAACGATTTATTCAACATTTTTAACACTAACATTTTATCACTATTATTAAATATAGGAGCATAGGAATACAGAAATAACCCATTGAGCCAGACAGAGCTCTCCGTGGCAAGCGATCCAGGTTTTCGCTGGTTAAACTTCAGTAGTGCTGCAGTGCGCAATCTGGGGTTCCTCCCCAAGTCTTGGCTCTTGCCCGCTCCATAACCCCGACCCGGCCGACCCCACCATCGGCGGTCGGCCCTTCAGCCTCTCTGGCCCCCACTCTCTGGAACTCCATCCCACATTCCCTTCACCCCTCTCCTTCCTTTGCCGCCTTCAAGGCACGCCTCAAGACCCTTCTCTTCGACCATGCCTTCGACCACCCTCTCTGCCCTCCACCTTCGCTGATCCAAACCACCCACCCCACCACTCCCCCGGTCGAGTCCTAATCCCTGACTATTCAACGCCTTGGGACGTCCTCCCGATGTGAATGGCGCTTTACAAATGTGAAAGCTTTACAGAGCAGAACCTTAGGCAAGTCTCCTTACCTCCACACGCCTCTGTTTACCTGGGAGTAAGTAGGAACCAGTTGTCAGTCGATTGGCGGATCGTTTTCCGGAGATAATAATCCCTTCAAAAAAAATAATAATAACAATTTGGTCACTCAATCCGTGACTGTTTGTGGGGACGCTACTGTGCGCAATTGGCTGCCGCGTTTCGCCCACAAAATATACAGTCGATTCACTTTACAGCAAATTCTGTGAAATGCTTTGAGACGTCTAAAAGACGTGATAAGGCGCTATATCAAATGCAAGGATTAAAATACACAGGCGTTACCTTTTATAGTGTGTCCAGGGTGCTGCATATTTTGCAGGGGAACTGCAGAATCGAGGGGTGGGGGGGGGAGGGGAGGAGTTGCTCCTGACCTGAAAAGTGCTATATTAACTGCAAGGACTATACAGTCCCTGGGCAAAGTTATCAGTTGTAAGACCTTACCAGTTTAGGGTAAGGTGAAGGATTCAGAGTAATTTTGCATAGTTTATTCAGGTTCTGTCCTCGGGCAATTCAGCTGCGAGTTCATGACAGAATAACAAATGTGTTGTAGGTTTGGGGACCGCCGTGGGGTGGGGGCTTGGGGATTTGGGGAGGGTGTGTGTCTCTGGTGCACTTTGTGCTACACTCAGGATAACAGGATGATGTTCACCACAGCTACACAACCCACCTCCTGGTCATCCACGTGGCACGAATCAGGAATGATACCGGGAATAATGGCTTGCCAGCCGAGAAGGTGAACCAGTAAACGTATTGAAGTGTTTGTGATGATAATAATAATAATAATAATAATACTTGCATTTGATATAGCGCCTTATCACGTCTTCGAGACGTCTCTAAGCGCTTCACACTGTGAAGTGAATCGACTGTATATTTTGTGGGCAAAACGCGGCAGCCAATTGCGCGCAGCAGCGTCCCCGCAAACAGCCGTGGATTGAAGTGATCAATTTATTATTATTATTATTTTTTTGAAGGAATTATTTCCCCCGGAAAAGCGATCCGCTAATCGACTAACAGCCGGGTTCCTACTTACTGCCGGGTAAACAGAGGCGTGTGGAGTAAGGAAACTTGCCCAACGTTTCGCCCTGCCCGGGAATCGAACCCGGGTCCTCTCGCTTGCGAGGCGAGTGCTCTAACCACTGAGCTACAGGACTTTCGTAATGAGGGGAAGTTACGAGGTAACGAGGGAACTAAGCAGGATTTAGCACATGGCACCTCTATAAAGTTTTCCCTCAAACATGGAGAGCAACAGAGGTATTCGTCCTCGTGACTGCGTACCTGTGAGTTGCATTTCTGCGTGTGTTTGCTTTAGGCTCTGGACTCACACTCATTGTGAGCATCAGCGAGAGCATTAAAATACACACAGATTTGACTAGTTACAAGATTTGACAAGGATGACAAGTACACTCTGTTTTCGTTTTATTAGATTTTGTATGTTGAAGATGATTTTGCAGTCTGTAATCTCTGCATATATGTGTTTCGGAGCACAAAAGCCTTTGATGCAAGCGTTAATCTCTCACGTGTAATTGTTAACTTGCTTGTAAACCGCCACTCTCTGGTTAGGCTGTGAACCTGTGACTGTGGTTGTCGTTTCATGGTATTGACTGACAAAACAATTTGCATTTGAAACGGCGCCTTTTGGCCCCCAATACGTACAGTCAATTCACTTGACGGTACATTCTGCGAAGCGCTTTGAGACGCATTGACGGCGTGATAAGGCGCTGTATCGAATGCGAGGATTATTATTATTATTATTATTATTTCACGTCAAGAGGACGTCTCAAGCCACTTCACTGGGTTGCACTGCAAAGAGTAGCGACTGCATTTAAGCTCTTTTTTCGTACACAGTCACACCACCTTACGCCGTATCCTGTGAAGTGCTTCGGGACATCTCGACAGTATGTCAAACCAGCGTATCAGATGCAAGGATTATATTATTGTGTATTTATCGCATTTGTAGGCAAACGCCGAGAATTTTTAAACTACAACGGTCCAACTTTTAAATGTTCAACCCAGCACCGTTAAAAAAATAGCATTGCAAGGTTCAAATAAGACAAGGAAAATGCTCGCACAACACAAACGTGGGTGAAACATTTCCTAACAGATTCGATGCGATATTTGTCATGTTGAATCTTTTAAGAAACATCGACTGATACGGATTCTAGTCACCGCTGTAAAAACTGAGGCCCTCTGAGAACGTTTTGACGTTACAGGCACTGAACCAAATGCAAGGATCATCATGATTAATACCCCCCACAGCTCCCCACTCCCCAGCTCGGGCACTGTAACCCGTTTTAGGATGTCCTCCTGGCTTGAAAGTCCGTCCTCCAATGAGACGTTAAATCGAGGTCCCGTCTGCCTGTTCAGACGGACGTTAAAGATCCCGCGGTGCTATCGAGAAAGAGAAGGGGGTTTCTCCCAGTGTCCTGGCCAACAATTCCCCCTCGAAATAAAAACTGTTCGCTCCCTCCGTGGCAGTTTGTGAGACGTCGCTGTGCACGTATTAGCTGCTGCGTTCGCCCTCGCAATTCACAGCCGCGGGGTTTGGCAGTATATCCTACGAGGGGCATTCAGGCATCTCAAACCGTCACGACGAGGCTCTCTGTCAGAATGCAAGGATTATTATCGACGTCAATCTGGACTGCGATCGTAACTGGCGTGTTGTACATCGATTAACAAACGGCGTAGCTGGCTGCCGCACGAAATCCACCGCAAGTTCACACGCACAGAGCGCGGCTGGGAGTTTCCTTTGCCCGAACCGCCCTGTCGAGCGTGGACGAAGCTTCGCGAACGGCTAAAAATAAAATAAATCTACACGCGTTTAGTTTAAAAGAAGAAAAAGTCGGCCCTTTATTTTTGTTTTGTTTTGTTTTGCTCTTTCATCGAATCACTGCCCTGTGTTTTTTTTTAAACTCTCGTTTCAGGTGGAACGTGCTGGGCGTGCAAGGATCGCTCCTCAGTCATTTCATCGAACCCGTCTACCTGCACAGCATCGTCCTGGGGAGCGTCCTCCACTTTGGCCACCTTTCCCGCGTGGTGTGCCAGCGGATAGAAGCTGTCGGCCGGCTCCCGCCGCCCTACAGACACAACCGGCCTCTCCTCAGCGGTGCGTCAGTACGAAAGCGAGCGCGCCCCCGCAATTCACGACAGCGCCCGGAGCGGCGGTAGCAAGCTTGCGCCCCTTTTCGCGTCGGAGGACGGCCCCGAGGCACCAGGTCCAAGCTGTCGACGCCTCGCTGCGCTGTCGGTAGCTCGTACCGGATGAGATTGCGAGCCCAGGTTCCCGTCTCTCCCGTTCGGGTGGATGTTAAGGAGAAGGGAGACCCGGCCGAATTAAACCCGGCACGGCTGCTCGCAGGATGTTGGCGAGCGCAAATCGACGGCCTCTATTCGTCTCCGAGCGCGCGGTCCCCGCGTTTCGCAGTGAATCCTGTCGGGCGCTTTAAGGCGTCTTGATGGCATGATGAGGGCGCTGTATCAAATGCGAGGGTCCTTGTATGATTAACCACTTCTGGTGGCTCTTTTTACCCTCTTCTAGCTCAGTGGTTAGAGCACTCGCTTCGCAAGCGAGACACCTGGGTTCGATTCCCGGCAGGGGGTGAAACCTTGGCCAAGTTTCCTTACTCCACACACACGCCCTGATAGTAATTCCCTCAAAAACGAATAATAAATTGGTCGTTTCAATCCACGGCTGTTTGCGGGGACGCTGCTGTGTGCAATCGGCTGCCGCGTTTCGCATAAAAATATGCGGTCGATTCAGTTTACAGTCTATTCTGTGAAGCGCTTTGAGGCGTCGAGAAGATCTGAAAAAGCGCTGTATCAAATGCAAGGATTATTATTATTATTCTTTAGCACCGATAGAAATAGCAGTAGCCTTACAGGGAATCTAGAAATGCGACACTGATCCAATTCCATGGTGAGTACTAAAACTGGTCAAAAATAATTCAACGCTAGGAATCAAATCAGCGTAAGTGGCTCTCAGTGACAGGACTTCTCCACAGAGATATTCCCTTTAATTGCACACAGGAGAGATTGATTGCATAAAAGTCACTCCGCACCAGAATTTTGCAATTAAGAAGAAAGTTTGGGGCAGCATTTGCCATTTTATTCACTCACCCCACCACCCCACCCCAATTCTTCTGGTCTCCAAGAATGTATGACATTTTAAATGGGATTCAGAAATACCTTAGGATGCTCCGAGAATGAGTAGAACAGGAGGATATATATATGGGTTTGGAGTGGCAAAGGACAATTTCAGGACAGATATCAGGAAGTTTTTCTGAACGCAGAGAATAATTGATGATTGGAACAACACGGTTGTCAGGAAAAAGTGGTTGAGGCGAGGACACCGGACACGTTTAGAAAGCAGCTTATTGCTGTGGTGGGAGGACGCTAGGGTGGGTGTTCTGGAGGGGTGAGATAAAATGGACCTTCTTTGTCCAAACCAATCTTGTGACCCTGGTGACACTGGGAAAAGCTCCCCAAATGAGTCGCCGGAGCTTTAAAGCCGACTTGAACAGGCAGAAGGTTTCCTGGTTGTCATCCCATCCAAAAAGACAGCACCTCTGACGCTCTAACGCTTCCCTAGTCCTGCACTGGAGTGTCAGCCTAGAATAGCAGCTCAAGTACTCAACGTGAGTTTTGAGGTCCTCCCAACTTTCTGACGCAGAGACGCGAGCGCTCCCGACTGAGGCAAGGTAACACCAACGAGATGCGCTATCATGGATGAGTTTAAAACGGACTCAACTCGCCCAGCTGGGGCAAGCGAGTGCAACACAAGGGGCTCGAACATGCAGGCTTGCATAGTTTTACACAATTTTACATGGTGTGCAGCAGGGAAACAGGCCATTCAGCCCAACACTTCCATGCCAGAGTTTATAGTCCAAATGAGTCTCCACCTTCTACTGCCTCCCATACCCTTCTCTTCCCCTCTCCCTCGGGCGAAGGTCTAGATTCCTCTTAAATGCGCCTACAAAATACACAGTCAATTCACTTTACAGTGTATTCTGTGAAGGGCTTTGAGACGTCTCGAAGACACGATAAGGCGCCATATCAAAATTCAAGGATTATTATTATTAGTAATATTAATATTATAAATGCACCTACACTATCTGCTTCAACCAGCGATTCAGGCCGCGAGTTCCACATTCTCACTACCCTCTGCGTGAAATGGTTCCTCCTAAATTTTCTTTGAGATTCCGCTGGAATCTATATTATATTTGTGTCCCCTGGTATGGTCTCCCCAACATGTGGGAACAGTCTATTTGTGCTCACCTTATTAAACTGTTGAACAATCAGGTCCCCTCTTAAACATCTCTCGTCAAAAAAGGTCAAACCTATCCGGTCTATCCTGATAGCAGTAACCTGCCAGCCCCAGCATCAACCCATGTCCTCTTGTTCAACAGTCTTGGTCATCTTGAAGAGTTTCTAGAATTACAAGCACACCTTATTTGATCCACGTTCCTACCTATGGAGTCCTGGAGCTCAGTGGTTAGAGCACTCGCCTCGCAGGCGAGAAGATCTGGGTTCAATTCCCGGGCAGGGCGAAACTTTAGGCAAGTTTGCTTACTCCACAAGCCTCTGTTAACCTAGTAGTCGATTGGCGGAGGGTAATAATCCCTTTTTAAAAAAAATAAGAATTTGGTCACTCAATCCACGGGACACGGCCGTGCGCAATTGGCTGCCGCGTTTCGCCCACAAAATATACAGTCAATTCACCTTACAGTATCTTTTGTGAAGCGCTTTGAGACGTCGAAAAGACGTGATAAGGCGCTACATCAAATGCAAGGATTAGTATTATTATTATCTAACACAAAGCCAAAATCCAGCCATGTGGATAATTTGCTTCAACCACTTTTAGTGTGATTGCGAACACACTGACAGATGGGCAGAAGCCTTTGCGGTAATGAATCCTTGCAGACCTCACACAAAAAAGCAAAATTAAAAACAGGCTGAACATTGGAGGCCCAGCATCGCCCCTTCAGTTTCTAACCTGCGACACTGTTGCTGAACATTGTAAATTATTTTTTCTATTATCTTCAAAATGTCAGTCATTAAGTGCTTAATTTAGGTTTAATTTGCATTTGAGAGATAATTGCTAACTTGGACAGCCGCCAGTTTAATGAAGCGTTGGCAGTGGGGTGGTAGTCCGCAATTTAGAAATATTAAACAGCGTGTTTTTATAGCCGCTGCGGTGAAAACGATGGCAAAGCTCCGTTGGCTGCCGGCTGAGAAAGTTCATTTAGCAAAATAAAATTCGCTCCGAAAAATACACAGTCAGTTCGCTTCACAGTATATCCCGTGAAAGCCCTTTGAGACGTCTCGAAGACTTGATAAGGCGCTGTATCAAATGCAAGGATCGTTATCAAGGAAACAGGGAGCGGGGAGCAACCTGGTCGAGCTTTATTAACTGCAAAGTCTTTGGAATATTTTCATTCAAGCATATCCCAGTGCAAAAAATTCTCAGTCACAAGCAACGGATCACTACTTCGCAAACTGGCCAGCGCTATATAAATGCAAGTTGTTGCCCTGACTCACACTGGAGGACTTTTTCACTGGTGTTACTCTTCAAGTGAGACATTAAACCCTGTGGTGTTACACTGTCGGCTATTTACAGGTGATCTGGTCTGGCCAGTGTAACTCACTCACCCAAATTCACCCCCAACAAGTTACGACACAAGATAAAAACAAATAAACATTGCATTCGACACAACACCCCGAAATGTAAAAGCGTCTCAAACCACAGGTAGATACTGTCACCTGTAATGCCTTTGTATCCTGTAGGGAAATTGAAAGTTCCCACAGTGAGCTTGATGCAGAATTTCAAAAAGATTTTGAGCTAAATTTGGCAATGGTGCGAAATGCTCCCACCGACGTGATAATTAACACATGCAGTGGTGTCCATGAACTGGTCTCCGGCTCTGCCAGAGGTAGGACTCGACTAACGTAACCAGACTGACTAGATGTCAGTCTGGTTAAGTTAGTAGCTCTCTCGCCTCTGAGTCAGAAGATTTTTGTGTTCAAGCCCTACGTCAGGGCTATGAACTCGCGTAGTCTAGGCTACCGCTCCAATGCAGTGCTGGGGGCGTGCTGCATTTGTTAGAGGTGCCGTCCTTCTGATGAAGCATTAAACTCGGATGGATGTTAAAGATCTCACAACACCATTTGAGAGGAGAAGGGAGTTCCTTCCCGTGTCCCAGCCGACAATCCATGCCGCCAAAAAAAAAAAATCGGTCACGCGCGGAACACTACATCAAATGCAAGGATTATTATTATCATTAATAATTAATTAGCAAATAGGTGTTACCTAAGGCAGCGCAAACAATTAGTACGTAGACTAGAAACTGATTTGATTAGAAATTGTATTGCCGACGGCTTCCGTTATATTTTTATCATCTTTGTGTTGTTGGTTTCAAGCAAAATGTCTTCCACCACAACAGCTTACACTTATATAGCGCCCTCCACACAGGGTAGCGCCTCAGAGCGCTTAACAGTGGCGGAACCTGGGGTGGAGTGGAGGTGGCCGTAAGCACGGTCGAGTTGGAAGGTCTTCCGGTGGGACTTGAAAGAGGGGAGAGAGGGGGGAAGGCGGAGGGATTGAAGGAGAGTGTGGCAGAGTTTCGGGGCGTAGAGGCTGAAAGTACGACCTCCGATGGTGGGACGGAGGGTGCGAGGGACGGGCAGGAGGACGGAGCCAGTCGAGCGGGGGCGCCGGGTGGTGGATTGGAGAGTGAGGAGGCCGGAGAAGATAGGGAGGTGCCAGAGAGTGAAAGGATTTGAACACGAGTGTGAGAATCTGGAAGTCAAAGGTCTTCCGTGGACGCGAAGATAAATTTGCTCTTAAATCTCACTGGCGGGAAGGGCTTGCAGTGTGGAGATGCCGACCCGGGATCTCGTAGCCCATTTTTCAAAACAAGTGAAAAAAAGAATGAAAATGAAAATGCCTTTCGTTCTTTTCGTTGCTTCGGTTTGTCCGCTGTCCGTTTCTGCTGCTTGCGTTTTAAAACAAATGAGCGCAGGTGGCGTCAAGGGACTTGACAGGACGAGTAACCGAGTCTGACAGTTTGACAGTACGATGGAGCTGAATTAACATCAGTAGAGGCAGTCATTAACCCAGGGTGCTGTTAAAACTCCGCACGGTTAATTCAGTTCAGTCACACTCTCGCGCTCGGTAATTTCTCGAGTGAGATTCCCCCAATGATGTTGTTCGCCGATTATGTTTATTTATTTATTTTTCGAGAGAGAGATTTTGATAGCGAGAAGCTCTCCCTCATTCGGTGCTAAGAAATGTCTCTACATCCTGCAACGTGTACTCGGCAGCGGGTGGGTACACTGGAAGGATAGGATCGAATGGGGGCCAAAGCGCTTTGGTTTTCTGAATTTCTCTTGGGAGCTCATTCGCCTGCGAGTACACGGTAACCAGCCTTTGTGGATCGCTGTGAAGCGCTTTGAGGCATTCTCGACATTATAGGCGCTGTATCGAGTGCAAACAATTATTATTATTTATTATTATTGTTATTATCGCAGGGGGGAATCTTATCTCAAACAGAGGGACATTACACACACACACACACATACCTTTCGCATACTTCCCTACAACCACACATGTGTACACACACACACACACACACACACACACATACCCTTCGCATAACCCTTCCTTCTCCATACAGACTCCACACCCACATTTCCCTCCAACACAGAGACACCCAAAGGTTTGTATCTGTGTATCTGTGTATCTGCGGGTGGTTGAAACGGCCAGCAAAATTCAACAAAAAAAAACCCCATGCGAACGACTAGCTTTATCTGGGGATTGTTGGCCAGGACACCGGGTTAAAAACTCTCCTCTTTGCAAATAGCATTGTAGGCTCATTAATGTTCCCCCAAACAGGTAGACAAGACGTCCACTTAACACCTTGGACAGTGAAGCCATAATGAAGCCTCAGCCTAAACTCCTGCTCACATCTCCGTCATCTATGACTCTTTTCAATTGAAAGACTTTGTCGTACCCTCCCCCCATCCCTTCCCCCCTCCCGACCACTTCCCTCGTCCCCCCCTCCTTCCCCACCGCCAGCTGTTTTCTTTACCCAAATTCTCACAATTTTTCGGCACTTATCTTGCTAACTAATTGGGTCAAAGCAGCGACGACTTGCATTTATATAGCGCCCGTCAGGCGGGGTATAGTGAAACCCCCTCCGCGGTTTAAATCTCCTTTGTTTGACATTCCCGCAGGGATCACGAGTTCCGGGGCTCGTCAGCCTGGCAAGTCCCCCAGCGTCAGCATCAACTGGACGCTGGGCGACTCCGACCTGGAGGTTATCAACGCCACCACGGGAAAGGGGGCCTTGGGATGTTCGTCCAGACTCTGCAAACGCGCACTTTATAGCCGATGGGCAAAGCTTTATGGCAAGGTAAGAGCTCGCCGTCCGCTTGCACCACAGCCTCGCTGGCCAAGAGAAGGCGCAGGGGAGGGGTTTTTCTTTTCGTCGAAGTGTTCAAGCTCGTTAAGGTTTAGAGATAAACTGAACCCCATTTAACACGTCATGGAATCTAGAACGAGGGTTCACTGACCCAAGCTTTACAGTGCACTGGGATGTCTTACATCCACGTTATACGGTGTGTTGCACACCTTCAAGTGCTGCGTTCACTACAATATAAATTTAATGATAATAATCCTTGCATCTGATATAGCACCTTATCGTGTCAATGAGGCGTCTCAAAGCGCTTCACAGAATACACTGTAAAGTGAATCGACTGCATATTTTGTGGGCGAAACGCGGCAGCCAATTGCGCACAGCAGCGTCCCCGCAAACAGTCGCGGATCGAGCGACCGAATTATCATTATTATTTATTTTTTGAAGGAATTATTGCCCCCGGAAAAGCGATCCGCCAATCGACTAGCAAGCGGGTTCCTACTTACTGCTAAGTAAACATAGGCGTGTGTGGAGTAAGGAAACGTGCCCAACATTTCGTCCTGCCGGGAATCGAACCCAGGTCCTCTCGCTTGCCGAGGCGAGTGCTCTAACCACTGAGCTACAGGAATCAACCTAAAGGACACATTTTACCTATAAAGGGTAGAGTTGCCGTCTCTCTTTACCAGTCAATTCCTTTCATTATCCTAAACAGCTCGAAAGCCAAAGCAGCTGACGCTGTAAGGGTGGGTGCGCTGGAAGGAGGAGATTAAATGGACCGAAGACTATCTTTATCCAAATCTCTCCTGTGATCTCTTATAAAGCTCCGGCAATTCATATCTAATTACTACCGTACGCAGTGCTGATGAATAAACGCAGTAAAACTGTCCGGGGAGGCGGTGTGACAGATTGCGTGGCAGAGAATTCCAGTTGGTAAATTTACTGACAAGTGGAAAATTTTCCCTGTGATATTTCTCTTGCACGCATGAAATTCAACAAGCTGTTTCCTAGGTTTAGAAGCATGTTAATTTCAGATTTCGTAATCCGCACTCGTCTCGCATTAGACTGGATTATTTAAACTAATATTAAATAATCCGCACTAACCCATCTGATTCATACAAGAAAGGAGCAACAGCCGAGCAGAGGCCTCAAATTTCTCACCGTCTTATGTTTAGAGTATATGCTCTGAAGCGCTTTGAGATGTCTCGACGACCTGATGAGGCGCGATATCAAACTCAAAGATTATTATTATTATTATTATTATTATTGATTAATATCGAGCCGAAGTTTGAAAGATTCCTCAACTCGGTCTTGATCTGGAAGCCGATCGAAAAGCAACTAAAAGAAAAATACGGCTTCAAAATGAAGGCTAAACCGAGGAGCTTTCCAATTTTCTGCGCCAAAAGGAAGGTGTTCGGTAATTAAGGGTAAAATTTAAGACTCGGATTCTAAACGGAAACCCGACTCATGACAATGAGCGTAAGAGTCCCGTAGTGTATTGGTTACAGAGCTCGCCTCACACGCAGGAGGGCCCTGGTTTGATTCCCCAGGCCGGGCGAAACCTTCGGCAACTTTCCTTACTCCACGCGTCTCTGTTTACCTTGTGATAAGCAGGAACCCGGTCGTTAGTCAATTGGCGGATCGCCTTCCGGGGGCATTAATCCCTCCAAAAAAGAATTGGGTTCCTCAATCCACGACTGCTTGTGGGACGCTGCTGTTCGCAATTGGCTGCCGCGTTTCGCCCACAAAGCCGCTTTGAGACGAGTCGACGATGGGATAAGGTGCTATCTCGAACGCTAGAATTATTATCACTGTTAAAATAAGACGGGGATGGAAGGAGGGAGATTCGGACGGGTGTGGGCTCATGCGGAGGATAAACACCAGCGTGTTGGGCACTAGTTGGGCTGACTGGCCTGTTTCGGTGCTGTGGGTTCTACGTCATTTTCCCGGCATCATTTACCAGTCGATCCCTCTGTAGTCCAGCAATAAGATAACTCGTTGCGTGAGATTGGCAGAAGCGAATCAAGCGTCCTACCTCCAAACGCGGTCACCTACACAAGCACTAACTTGTACACGGCCACTGAGCCCCGTTGTGTTATTAGTCTCAAGTCTGTTCGCGTGTTACCGTTGCGTTTCCGCTGTGATGGTTAGTTCCTCGATTAATGACAAGCAGTGGAGTTGGCCCACTTTTGTGTGGATTTTTAATTGGTGTCGCGTGTGAATGCCACACATCCACTGCGTCGATCAAGAAAGAACAAAGGAATAAAGAGCGCCATAATTACGTGGGTTTGCGTATCGTACCGTTGGAATGTGGTCTCCCCCTCAAACCCCCCCCCCCCCACCCCCCGCATTCACTTGCCCCCCCAAAACGCACGGCCCATTCCATCGCCGGCGTCCTGGTTTCGAGCCGCCACCAATGTCGCCTCTCGCCCGCCCGCCACCCGTGGGTAGGTTACGGGCAGCGACTTCGGCGGCGACTTGACCACCCACAAGTTGGCCATTTTGGGTTCCCCTGCGTCAGCCGGGGTTTGACGTCTTTCCGGAACGAAAAATAAAATAAAACGATCTTCTCGCGTTTGATTTGGCGCCTTTCGCTTTGGGAGGACGCCGCAAAGAGCCTCGAGGAATTTACTGCGAAGCGTAGTGTTTTGTAGGCCAACGCTGCAGTCGATTTGCGTGTAGGGATGTCCCACGAAACAGCCCGCGAGAGGACTGACCCGCGTTACTTCCGCGCAGCGAATGGGGGGGGCAGGCGACTGGCAAACCTTGCGATATTGCAGCTCCCGCTGTGGTTTGCGGAGCGCACAGCGAAAAGGCGTCTGTCTCTCAGGCGTGATTCGATCGGAGCTCTCACCTCACCAGAACAGAAAGGGTCAGACAGAAGCGCAGACCGTGCCTCAGACTGCGGGGGGGGGGGACGCGGAGGCAAGAAGGAAATAGTTGCGAGCGAAAATAGTTAGCGTTCATCGGCTGTTTTGAATCCCTTACTGTACATCCATCGTTTTCGTTTGGAGGGAGGGAGAAATGAAGGAAGGAAGGAAGGAAGGAAGGAAGGAAGGAAGGAAGGAAGGAAGGAAGGAAAAGACTCTCAATGTTAAGTAAAGGGAAACACGAGAGAAATGTAAATTTGTTGCGCTTAACTGGGAGCGAAGATTCAGCTCAGTATCCAAAGGCCAAATGACGTAAGAATCAGCAAACAGTATATATCACTCGAACATCTCAGCGATTGTCGACATGGTGTAATATCCAAATTGAAGAGATTGGGAGGGAAAGATAAGCCGAGAGATGACAAAGAGAGAAACCGTTCAATAAAAAGCTCCTATTATCACCTCATTTCAAAATCATTTCAGCGCAGGTTATCCTATTGGTTTAATCTCCTGCATTTATCTGGATCAAAGTTACCTGCGATTAACCTAAAACAACAAATTGAACCGGGTCGAAAGATTTGCACGGCAAGTCGGATCCGAACGAGATCTACATTAAATGCCCAACAAAAAAAAAAACACTTAAGATATTACTTAAGATATAGTCTTTTTTTAAACCGGTTTAAGTAAAGGGGTCATTTATTGCAACGCTTAATGCCATAATTCTGTTTGCTGAAATCCCGAATGTGTCAGTTATTTTTGCTCCCTTTCTTCCCAATAACGGCCGCACTTACAATCAACTTACAATCAACTCACGACCTGGCGAGACAGCTCATTGCAAAACTGCACCTTTTGGGAATAAAGCTTAAGGTGTTTGAGAGATGTTGGGCTTTTCAGTACTAGATTTTAAGACGAGATAAAATAGCTCTCAGAAATTAAAAATAATTCATTTGAGGAATGCACTCTGTATTGAACCGCAGATATTGCTGGTCTGGGAGCATAATAATAATAATAATATTAATAATAATAATAATAATCCTTGCATTTGATACAGTGCCTTATCACGTCTTCGAGACGTCTCAAAGCACTTCGCAGAACACACCGTAAAGTGAATTGACTGTATATTTGGTGGGCGAAATGTACGCTCAATGCACTCTTCATCTGAATAAACGGTGAACTTAAGTGCAAAGAAATAGAGTTTCTAATATTTGTCCTAATGGGTGTTAAATTCCATTTCACAAAAGTCTGAAAAACCTCTTTATTTATTACAATCAGCGCAACACTTTAAAAGAAAATGCTTCTTCTTGTTGGTTTCCCGATTTCTTTCCAAGTGTTTGTTTAAGGCGAGTGCGATCTTCGAACTAACTGGTTTATTTTCCAAAGTTTGTTCCTTCGAAATGTTCGCCATCGTTGGTTTGTAGCCCACAAAACACGGTATCCATTTATTTTTCCCTCCAAAAAATAAAATAAATAAGTACCGAAAATCTGGTCATTCAATCCACGACTGTTTTGTGAGACATTCGGTGCCACATTTGGCTCACAAAATAATCAAAATATACATATAATCTTTGTGACGCTCTTTTCGACGTCTCAATGACATGATCAGGCAAGGATTATCATTATTAATATTATTATTATTATTGTCATTATCCAGATTCTCCAGCAAACTCAAAGAGCATAACAATAAAGTAATAATCCTTCCATTTTATTTGGCACCTTGTCACGTCGCCGAAACATCTCAAACCACATCAGTTTTCTGGGGTTGTGACTGTGTATCGTGTAACTGAATCTGACCTATTTGGGCGCAGCCAATGAATGAAGTGAACGACCGATTTTTATTTGGGGGAATCGTTGGCCAGGAAAACTGGGAGAAACTCCCCTCTCTTTTCGAAGAGTGTCGCAGGCAACGTCCACCTCAGCAGGCAGACAGGGCTTAGGTTTAAGATCTCATCCAAAGGGAAAGCACCTCCGACGATGCAGAGTTCCTCCAACACTACGTTCGGAGTTGACGGCCTCAACTAGGAGCTAAAACGTGGGGCGTAGAGTCAGAACCCACAACCTTGTGGCTCAGAGCGAGAGCGCTACCAACTGAGCCGGACTGAACCAGTGAAGATGACTTGTACGTGTTTAATATGT